GTACTCTCAATTGAGTTTTTAAGTTGGTTTATTGCTTCCTGCATTTCTAGGATTTCTGTTTGTTTGTTTTTTATAACCTCTATCTCCCTGTATAGTTGATCCTTTGCTTCCTGGATTTGTTTGTGTAATTCCTTGTCGAAGTGATCTTTCATTGTCTGATTTTGCTGTTTAATTTCTTCCTTGATACTCCAGATCATCTGAAGCATATATATCCTGAATTCTTTATCTGACATTCCATCTGCTGCAGCTGTTACCTCTTCTAAAGTTGAGCTGACCTGCATTGCTTGTAGTCCTTTCTTTCCTTGTCTTTTCATACTGGTTGCGTTTCTTTCTTCTTGGTGAAACTGTTGTGTTTTTGAAATTTTTCCCCCCCCTATATATTTATGTTGCTCTTGTATAGTTGAAAATTCTCCCTTGCAGGTGCGGGCAGGGGCTCTGCTCTGCCCCTCCTCCAATTGGTGTGAGGTGTCTACCACGCCCGCGGACCCCTGGGCCTGATCCGCTGTTCTGTCGCAGGTCTGCCTACCTTGCAGGTGGGGGCGAAGGCTCTGCCCTGCCCCTCCTACCACGCCCGGGGACCGCTAGGCCTGATCTGCAGGTTGGTCGCAGGTCTGCCCACCTTGTGGGCAAGGGTGTCAGTTCCACTCCGCCCCCACTCCAATTGGGGTCACTTGACCACCACACAGGCGAGCCGCTGGGCCTGATCTGGGCGCGGGCTAAGGCTCTGCTCTGCCCCTACTCCAGTTGGGGTGAAGTGTGTACCACGCTGGCAGGCTGCTGGGCCTGATCCACAGGTCTGTCGCAGGTCTGCTTACCTTGCCAGCGCGGGCGGTGGCTCTGCCCTGCCCCTCTTACCACGCCTGCAGACCGCTGGGCCTGATCTGCAGGTTGGTCGCAGGTCTTCCTACCTTGCGGGCGTGGGCGGCGGCCCCTCTCCTCGCCTCTGGCTCGACGACAAAGCGAGAGAGACTCGGGTATCTGTGACTCACCCTCCCTACCAGGGGACCAACTGTTTCCGTCGCCGCTGGCACCGATGAAGTTTTCTCCTCGGCCGCTCTCCGATGACATCAGATCTCTGCCATGCTGGCATCCCCTGTTCTATGGCTGAATCCCATTTTCTTCTCTTCCAATAGGCGGAGCTGTGCCCTCTGAGCCGAGCTTCTGCCCTCTGTGTGCTGACAGAAATCCCTGTACGGTGGCTCCTCCTGGCTCAGAATTCTTAAACCAAGATAACATAGCACAGTAATGGGTACACTTCCTTTTCTTTTAGAATTATCCTGCCGAAGCAGTTTCCATCCCACTTGTGGTGGAAGCCGGAGGCCGCATCCTGAGCCCAGGGAGACTGCGCTTGGTACTCTTGGGGGATACTTGAATTTCTGTGGATGGAAATGCTCTGGAGAAGCTCTATTTGTTGACAATGGCAGACGCCCAGTTCTTGATGCTCATAAAACTATGGCAGTCAGTGTTGGGAAAGATATATTAGGTCATCAATCTCAATTCTGGTCCAAGGCAGGATGGTTCACTATTGTAGTCATTCTAAAGCTTTGTCCAGGCAGTTTTGAAATGTGTCTAGGGCCTAACTCTTAAGCTATTCCCCTTCTCCGGTCCCTGGGCAAACGTTGAGGTGTTTAACTTAAAACAAAAAAAAGAAGGGCATTTTAGAGTTGGAGCCACACAAGTATTTAATCGTATCCATTCACCTAGATTTCTATCAGTGGTTTCCACATGAAGAAAACAACTCAGTGTAAAGAAACCCTGTATCTCTGGCACAAAGTTACCATCAAGGAAAAAAAAAATCACTGATTTTTTTCCAGTTTCTTATATTTCAACTTTGATGGTGAGTCTTTTGTAAACTTTAGGGAAAAAAGCAAATTTATTGGGGCTCTCCTTAGCCAGCATTGTCAAGAATGAGTACTATTTAAAAGCTGTTCTTACTAATGGAAGGTAGCATGCTTGTTCTTCCTGTAAATACTTATTTTGAGTCTGTTTACTTTTCCTTGATAAATTGATATGTTCTCAATTTTTATTTTAGGAATAAAAGTGGGGAATCTTTTTAATTTTTTTTTAATTTATTTAGTATTGGGGATTGAACCCAGGACATCTCCAGTCCTTTTTTATTTTTATTTCGAGACAGGGTCTCAATAAATTGTTGAGGCTGACCTTGAACTTGTGATTCTCTTCAATAGCTGGGAATACAGGTGTGCTCCATAGTATCTGGCTTAAAAATGGGAACTCGTAAAACTTAAGTTTTTGTTTTCTCATGTTTCCCTTTAACTTCTTATTGAATGATCCCAATATCCAAAAAGATTTTGGTGGCTGCTATTGTGTAGCAGAAAGGAGGACTATTCTACGTTACACAGACAGTAGACTTGAATTAACGAAATCATTTATGTGCCTAATGTGTGTGTGTGTGGTTTGCTTTCTTGTTCTTGAGAATATTCAAAACAATTCTCTTTTTGGTAAGTAATGCTATCTGCAAATACAAACATGCTAAAAAACAATATAATATTAGAATATTTGCATTTGAAAGTCTATTTCCATTTTAAATCAAGACAAATGGGTAATAGTTTATAAATGCAAGTGGCATCAATATTCCTAAGTGGAACAAGCAGTTCCTCTTAACAATAAGCAGTTCTCACCTCTAGAGTCTTTTGTCTTTTTCTTTTTCTTTCTTTTTTTATTCTGAAAGATGGGTTCCCAGTTAATCAACTATCAAGAAACTGAAGGTAAATGTTATCTGAGTTGAACTTATCTGAGTTTAATTAGATTAGAGAGTTGACTGGGAATTCATCCAAAACGTGTTCATCAAAAAACAAAGGTATTTGAATGTTGAGGAAAGGAATAGAATTATGGAGGACAAAATTAATTTGAAACCTCTTGAACCTAGATAAATGGTTAAAGATATAAATACTGAAGGTAAAATGTTTTATTTTTATTTTTAAAATAGTTCAATACAATGTGTCTATTCCTGGAAATTTCTGTGCTTTTTTTCAAAAATATGCTTATCCACATTAACAAATAAAAATTCCTTTAAAAATTGAGTGGGGGATATAGTTCAGTGGTAGACCACTTGCCTAGCAGTCAAGAAGCCTTGGGTTCAGTCTCCACCATCGCCTCCCACCAAAAGAAAAAAAAAATCACCCAAAGTACAATGTCATGCAAATCACTACAAGAATATTTTCAAAAAATGAAACACTTTGAAAAAGATTTTTTGTATGATTCATGAATATACTTACATGTTATCTCATAAAGAATTTTAAGTATTTAAATGACACATTAAATAAATTCTCTTTATGAAAAATAATTAAATGAATTTAAAACTGCTCAGAAAATTATTGACTATATATTGAAAAGTTAATAGTGCTAATGACTTCAGTAAAGTAGGCTATATTCAACTCCCTACTTGAAAATAAATTGTAAGTTCTTAAATGGTTGAATTTCTGGCTTGAATAGAATTCTTTAGGTAGAACTGGGCTCAATAAGCGTTCATAAAATAAATAAACATGATTGAATTCAGGTAGACAGCAGATGGTTCACTGCTTGGTATAGTATATATTTTCCTGATCATCTTTTTTAGTAGTGCCTAATTCAAATAGTTACTGATTAAGTGATAGCAATTATATGTATTTATGAAGTTTTCTGAAAATTAACATATCTATATTTATTGGCTAGGAACTTGGTTTATTAATGTAATAAAAAGAAAGTTCAGTGGTAGATAGATCAATGTTTTAACTAACATTGTCAGGGATGTCTCTCACTAGATCCCAAACTCTCCACTTTCGGTGCTATTTTCATTCTTAAGCAAATACAATGGCAAAGGTGGAACTGCTTAGCAATCCCTGGGAGAAGGATAGCTTATTTTATAGAGGAAACTGACTTCCCATGGTGCTGGCTTGAGTCACATGCCCCTCCCTGAACCACACAATAGCACCGTGCTTCTGAATTCCTTTTCTGTGGTTGCTGTAACATATAACCAAAAACCGGGTGACTGAAAACAAAAGAAACTTCCTTCACATTTCTGAACAGTATGGGTCCAAAAACAAGGTGTTAGCAGGTCCATTCCACTTCCAGAGGCCATAGGGGAGATTCTGTTCTTTGTCTTTTCTAGCTTCTGTGGGCTCCAGGAATTCCCTGGTTTGTGCCCATATTATGAATCTCTGCCTCTGTGGTCACACTGCTTCCTCATCTTCTCTGTGTGGTCTGTATCAAATCACCCTCTGCCTCTGTCCTATAAGGGCACACATGATTACATTTAGGGTGCACTGAAATAATCCAGGATGACCTCACCTCAAGATTCTTATTTAATTACAGCAGCAAGGACCTCTTTTCCAAATAAGGTTACATTCACAAGTTCCAGGGATTAGGATGTGGACATATCTTTTGGGGGCCACCATTCAACCCACTACAGTTGGTAAATGTTCAACAATCTCCTTTTCAGAAAATGGGAGGTCTTGAAAGATAGCATTGACCTAGTTCTATAGGATAAGTAGAGCCACCATGGCCAGTTTCAAGCTATCAAGGGGAAGTCACTGAACATAGAAAAGGGAAGAAATACACAGTAACTCATTGCTATACAGTATTCCCACTGCACAGATTCAATGGATGCAAGTAACCTCATGAGCATAGATAGGCAAAATGTAGTCAAATGAGTAGAAAGTGATAAGATTTGAGAATAATTTCCTTTATTTTTAATATAATTTATTTAATTATAAGTTTATATGATTTAAATTGTAATAGTGATTGTGTTTAAAAACTGAACATTAACCAATTGGTTTGTATGCACAAGTGTGAGCTATTGCCAACACACCATTGGAAAGAATGTACTGATTGATGAAAGAATGACTGAGTGAGTGGTAGAGCCTAGAGCTTAAAGTAGGCAATATCCAAGCCTCATGAACCGAAAATGGGTTGGTGTTTCCTTAAGAGAAAATCGGTGTGCTACTACTACCTACAGGAGGGGAAAAATATTAGGGGGGAAAAAAACAACAAATTCATCTCAGTATGATTGCTTAAACATATTTTAATGATTGCAGGCTAAGGAAAAAATTTTCAGCAAAGTTCAAAAGAATTACAGGTACAGGTATTTTGAGTACACATGGACATGCAAATTAATCTTCCCACCTAAGAAAAAAATCACTTTTTCACATTCTGATTTCAGTTATCCCATAAAAATCTGTTTTTATTTTGAACACATTTTCTAAAGTGATCAGCTTCAGAAAGAGAGATAAACCAGTGGATATTTTTTTTAAGTATCATTTTTTAAAAAATCTTTTCATGTCTTTATTGAGATATAATTCACACATCATAGGACTCACTCTTACAGCAAGACTCAGTGGTTTTGAATGCATTCACCAAGTGATACAACTGCCACCTCAATTAATTTTAGAACATTTCTATCATCCCACAAAGAAACTCTGCACCACTTTGCTGTCACTCTCCAATGTCCCCTATTTCTTCCCAAGACCTAGCCAACCACTAGTCTGCTTTCTGTTTCTATAGATATGTATACTAATCACAAATACATGTTGTACAATTCCATTATGGAATCATGCAATTACAGAATCATACAACATGTGTTCATTTGTAATTTGCTTATTAGCACGATGTTTTACAGTTCCTCCATGTTGTTGAATGTATCAATATTTCATTTCTTTTTATTGCTGAATAGTTACATATTCCATTTTATGGATGTACCACATTATGCTTTTGCATTCATTAGTTAACAGACATTTGAATTCTTTTCCTTTCTTGGCTATTGTGAAAATTCTGCTGTGAACATCCATGTACAAGTTTCTATGTAGACCTATGTTTTCATTTCTTTTAAATTAATGGCTTTAAGCTAAAACCTTTAGCCAAGTTTCTTATATTCCAAATGATTAAGGGAATTGTCATTTAGGACTTAGAAAAGCTACATATAGAATTCTAAACGTCTTAATTTTGGGATCACCACCCCCAACTCTGCTCTTTCCTGGTGGGGAGGAAGAAAGTAGGTGCTGCTCTGACCTGGGGCTCCTAGATCACCAAGCAGGTGTAAATGAACTTCTTCTTGCAGTAACTTAATCTCAGCCTTTCCCACAATAGGCTCACAACTCTTAGCACAACACATTGTTCCTTTGGGAATACTCTATATCCAAAGCATAAAAAATAATAAATATAAAAGCTTATTTTCTGTACTGCAAATTAGAGTTATAGAGTTTTGAAAATGTGCAGAAAAGGGGAAAAATTAACTTCCCCTGATAGAGGCCAGTGGAGTGTTTCGTTTTCTCCCTTACACGACTTGCGGGAGTCTTTTGGTGTGTCTTGCAGGCCTGCAATGAAAAAGAGGGCTCTATATTAATTTATATAGCAACTTTCTTCCAAGAAATGCACAGTGTCTCAAACAGTCTTTCACTCATTCCCCTAAGGGAGTTTGCATAGCGTGCATAAGAAATTACTTCTTTTAAAATTTACACTCTCCAGTTAGTCAGTGCTGGGCAGAAATAGAACTAGAAAAGCAGACCTCCTGACCAAACATTCCGCTATAATATTTTCAGTGAGATTCTATAAATCAATGCATATTCTTAAAAATAGGACTTCCCCATCATATATCCCAGTGACTATTTACTGATGACTGGCGTTTCTTTCACCAGGGGAAAAAATCTCTCTTGTCTGAATTGGAATTGACTGGGATGTTGTGCACCATGAAATGGAAGGGTATCATGTATTTATAATTAAGTGCTCAGGATGGCCTAGACCCTTGAACAGACATGACAGTTTGTACTCTGCAGCTCAGCCCACCAAACTCACCCCAACTGAGAATGCCTTAAGAATCCCAGGACTGGTTCAGCACAAGGGAGAAAAGTCCTGCTTACAAACTCCAGGCAGGAACCGGGAGGCAAATTCATCCATTCTCACTGTTGTTTCTTGCCGTTCTGTCTTGCTTTTAGAGAAGGCCATATGGTCCCTCAGGGTGTTGCTAGTCATACGGGATGGCATCCTCAGCTCTAGTTTCCCAAAACCCAACTCAGGGTTGGGTGGATGAACCTGCAAAAGCTTCCAGCAGTAGTCATTTTCAGGCAGGATATAGCTTTCGACCCCAAATACTTTGGTCCTTATGTTTGGCCTTTCCTCGAGATCTTCATATTGTGAAGTTCTCAGAGCTCAACCCTGAGAAAAAAATCTTGGCCAGGACCACATTAGCGTATGTAGAATCTCAGGAAATCACATCTGGGGAATATCTGTGACTTTCTTCCACTCCAGAAAAACCTCTGGGCTTCATAAATTCCCTCCTTGTGATTATTGTGGAATGGGAGATCTTATTCCAGTTAGCAACAGAAAGTTCAGTGCAGTGTCCCAGGCTGCCTCTAGTTCCAGTCATGTTTTTTGGGGGTCCCCGTAATAATTTATTAACTTCTTTTTTATTTTCCAGTACTAGAAACTAAATTTGGGGCTTTGCATATGCTAAACAAAGACTCTACTGCTGAACTAGCCATAAAAAAACAGCCATTTTTAAACTTTATTTTGAGACAGGCTCTCACTAAGTTGTTTGGGCTGATCTCATTCAAACTTGGGATTCTCCTGCCTCAGCATCCCTATTAGCTGGTATTATAGGCATGTGCCACCATGCCTGACTCCACCATAATCTTAACATGCAGAATATTTTAAATTTATAATTTTTGTCAACTAGGACTAGTTACATAGTTTGTAACTACTTATATAGTTTGAGGGCCAGGTGAGTGGGTGCCTTAATGAAAATTTAAAATTTTTAAGATGATGACAAGAGAGCTTTAAAATGACAGTGGGCCACTTCTATATACAGGACCTTATATGACTGCACAGGTCACATGAAGCTAACCCTGCTGCAAATACTCGAAAACAAAAGATTTTACTCTGGAAAATCTGGTGCCTTTGAGTCTGCATCCTCAAATGGCAGCTTATAATTGATTGTTGCCTAGTAGTAGCATATATTGGTTTTCTGGGGCTGCCAAAACAAAATACCACAGCCTGGTGGTTTAAAGAAAGAGAATTTACTTTCTCACAGTTCTGAAGGCTCAAGTCTGAGATCATGGTGTTGGCAGAGTTGGTTTCTTGGCTTATAGATGTTGCCTTCTCCCTATATCTTCACATGGTCTTCCCTCTATTAATGTCTATGTCCTAATGTCTTCTTATAAGGACTCCACCAGCTGGGTGCGGTGACACATGCCTGTAATTCCAGCAGCTTGGGAGGCTAAAGCAGGAGGATCCCAAGTTCGAAGCCATCCTCAGCAACTTAGCAAGGCCCTAAGCAATTTAGTGAGGCCCTGTCTCAAAATGAAATTATAAAAAGGGCTAGGGATGTGGTTCAGTGGTTAAGTGCCCCTGGGTTCAATCCCTGGTACAAAAAAAGAAGCCCATGCCTGCAGCATGTGGAATGGTGACACAATTATAGGACAAAAGTTGCACATTCCATCCACTTCTGCAAAATCAATAATCAGTTTCCTTAACAACAACAACTGTACCCATTACACAGAGATAACAGTTCAAGTGTAATGCAGAAGAAAAAATTTGCTTTGAGATGTAACAGATTCCTCACCTCAGACATGTGACTTAAATGTTTCAGGAGAAGAAAACTCTCAACTTCAACATAATTCTTCTCCACAACTGATCCTTCCTCAAATCACCTGACTGTACTAGGGCTGGTCCTAAATTTCAGTGGAAACTTGATGAGGTACCCCTTACAGAGAACATAGTCCCAAATTGGTCTTTGTACCTATTTGTAGAAAAATGATAGCCAGATTATAGCTGAAAACTCTGCTAATTCTGGGGAAGATTTTGGTCTTGTGCCTGGAACTATTGAAGCATATATTCACACCTACCACATGCGACACTTAGTAGCAGAATTTCCAGCACAACACTTCAGTACTTTATTTTTAAAAGAAACAGCAGAGACTGGAGTCCTGTTCACTCTGCAGCTTTCTTACAGGAGGCTCCACAAAAGGTTGGGAGAGTGGGGGGTTGGGGGGTTGAAAAGAGGTATATTTTGCACTTTTGAAAACCTTTGCTCAGAATCAGGAACTCAAGATGCTAAAATATATAACATTTGCACCTGCATATATATTTTTAAAAAGCCACATTTGCGAGGCTCTGAGAAAAGAAGGGTGCAGCATAATGATTGAGGAATAAAGACCAATATTAGAACTTAGAAAAGAACTTAACATTTTACTCTAAATTCTTTGGATTTTGGACAAAGAAAGAAATGTCCTAAAAATTTTAAATGATGTTCCCCAGACCAGCACTTTGCCCAAAATGCAGGTCTTTTCTTTCAGAATAGTGTACTTCCCACTCCAAAGGTTTATTTCTAAATAGACATTGTCCTGTTGGCCTAAATTGCATGAAAAAAAAGCATAAAACCCTCCTCTATCCACACCAGAGTCTCTATTTAGACTCCAGAGTTGAGAAAGCAAGGACTATTTCAATTTCAACTCCCTTAGCAAATAGAAGAAAAGGCATCTGACCTTCCATTCCTCCAGCTGGTCCCTGGGTTTCCATGTAGCTAGCTGGCACAGGCCTCAAGTCTGACACCAGGGGGCGCAGCATCCTTTGTCCTGACAGGCATTGAAATAGTGCTCTGAAGCCTGGCTGGGCCTTACAGAAAAGCCACCTTTCTCTACTTTCACAGTTTCTCTTTGGAACCAGCCTAGAACTCAGCCCCGCTGCATCATCTTAAAGCCATTTTCTCCTTCTTCCCCAGTGGTGGTCAGAATCTCTTTTCCCACAATCTCAGATGTGTGCAGCTTGCAAGATTGTCCCCTCCCCAGCTACTCCTCCCCTGCAAAGCCTAAGAGGCTCATGGCCTATCATTCATTCTCACATGAAATCCCCATAAATTTAGGATGTCTCCAGAAATTCTTCAAGAATAAAGAACCATCACAGACAAGGTGAGCTTTCCAGAAGAAATATCCCACCTGTTCTCTAATATCTCTTCCCTTTTCAGTCACCCAAAGGAATAATAAATTAAATTACTCATTTGGGGAAGCTGATACCATCTTGTAGTCACCCCCTCAGTTCCCTCTGCCTGGCCCTGAAAAGTCTGAGAACAGCCATTGCTTGTGGCTACCTAGCAAAGGGACAGGTAGGTGTAAGCATCCTTTCAGCCTCACCTTGCTACTCTTATTCCCCCACTGTGCATCCCACATAGGATAACTGCTTCTTTGTGTCCTTACCAGCTTGGCTCTATATGCCCTCCAGCAGAAAGAAGTCCACTCCACACTTGCCTACCTCTCCTGATTCTAAACACGCACTGCTCTCTTCTTTTGCAGATAAATAAGCACCCTCTTCCATTTAGACACACTCCTAACCCTTCCCCTATTGACACAAATGCACACATTATGCAAACCCTCAAATGTCAAAGCCACACCATTTTGCAAAGAACCTTAAACTCCACTGTCTGAACTGAAGGGCCACAGGGTCCTGTAGAGGCCTTTGGAAAGCAGCTGCTATATTTACATAGAGACTTCACATTTACACAGTCCTCTCCCTGTCTTTCATTGCAATCCCCCAACAATGCTGAGAAGAGGCAGGGAAATCCAAAGCTTAAGAGGCATGTCCCAGTCCCAGACCTAGTACAGGGTAGAGGCAATACTGGGATCCTGGTAACAGGGCATGGTGGAGGGCTACATGTCCAATGACACCAAGACCTGGAAGCAACACATCCTCACAAATGGTTCTATGCACAAAAGGAGTCTATGCTTTCAGTTTCTGGTAAAAATGTAGTATTAGTGGGATCCTCAATTGGGCAGGAAAGAAAAGGAGAGGTAATGTCAATTCTGAGCTGACCTGCCTTTTTTATCTATGGTGCAACTCATTTCTTTTCTCCGAATTCACCTTAACTAATGTAGAGTAATTGACAGTGCTGAGCCTGGAGACAGGTAGCCATGGCTTCTTAGCTTAATTGTGAACCTTCCTCTACTTGCTCATAAAATGATGATAACATCTATGAGATACACAGACAGCCACCGAAATGAAAAGTATAAATGTCATCCTGGGAGAGGGAGTGGAGTGGGAGACTTTTACTTTCATTTTATGCTCTTCCATATTTTTTGAAGTATTTTAACTTGTGCATGTATTCCTTTTTTAAGTTTATTTTAAAATTTGTGTTGGGGCTAATGGGGCTCCCCCAGAATTGCTGTGAGGATGACTTATGTAACATATCTGACATGGCACGTGCTCTGGCACACAGTTGATGCTCACTAAACAGTAGTCTATTGTTAGTGATTGCACCTTCCTAAAAATTGAGCAAGTGGACTTCAAGTCAAGAGACACAGGGCTGCTGCAGACCCTGCTCTCAGCTCCCTGCATGCCCTTGAATAATTTAAATCTTTTCCCAAACCCTTAGTTTCTTCATCTATAAAATGACAAGACACAGGCCAATTGATTTGAAAAGCAGACAACATGCTTACCACCAAAAACCCCCGAGGTGCCTTCTACAATTCAGTATTTTCAAAAGGAGGTCTCTCAAACTTGAGCTCATCAGGCAGAAACTTTCCCAAGAGAAGTTGTCATCTAGGATGGGCCAAAAGGGCCAGAGACAGCTGAGCTGGGTCTAAGTACAGAAAGCTAGGGAAAGAATAATGTGTGAACACAGTGTAAGATTGTCAGCTTAGGGCAGGGGGTGGGAAAAGAAAGTTTTGGTTGTTCCTTGGGTGCAGTTGGCACTGCCACCATTTCCAGCTGAGAGAGATGACCTTGCTGAGCAAAAAGGGATGGGGATCCCTGACCAAACTAAAGCTAGCCCCAATCCAGTTCCCTAGGATGAGAATTCTGCATGAGTTACAGATCTGACATCAGGCCCTCCCTAAGCAGATCCAGGATCCATGAGCGGTCTTTTGGATAAATGGGTTTTGGAAAAAAAAAAAAAAAAAAAAAACTAAAAAGAACCTACTGTGCACAAGAATTGAGCTAAAGCACTTCTAAAGTTTCTTGCAACAATTCACTTTATCTGAACAACAACAACGTGCAGTGAACCCACACAGGTGGTGCAAACTTCAGATTCTAACCCCCTTAGCAGCTGATTTGGAGAGACCAGTTTGGGTACACTCTAGCTCTTGAAAATCAGAGATTTGTTCCTAAACACAGCTGATTCTTTCCCACACTGCTCAGAAGGCAGATCTTCCTCAGAGTCTCCTTTGCTAGAACTCCTTTGCCTTTTGAGGACTGGAGGCAGGTAGAATGGTGGGTAGGAAGGTCGCGACTTTCTTTTTCCCCCGGCGGTATCCTTCCTATTTAAAGCAGCACCGACTGTCATAGCAGCTTCTTGCCAATATTTGCAGGCAGGAAGATTTTTGACATTGTAAGGCGGGCGTTTAGAGCAGATGGGAAGCCCTTTCCCAAGACCATCGGGTAGAGCATAAATCGGTTATACCAGCACCCAACAGGAATCCCTAACCCCCACTTTCATGGTCAACACCCAGATGGTATCTGCGTTTACATTTTTAAAAAGGGGGTGTGATTTTTCATAACTCTGCATTATCAGGCCGTGCCTGTTATAATTGCATCTCCTCCTAAAGTTCGTGTTGTCACTCCCTAAAGGGTAAGTAGTGTTTTCACTTCTTGAGAGATCTGGGATAACGGTATCAGAGTACACCACACCTGGAAGATCCTTCACGTCTATATATATTTTTTCTCTTTTTTTCTTTTTATTTTCTTGTCTTTCTTTCTTTTATTTTTTTAACGAGGCCTTGCAATGTAAAGTGTTGGACGGGAAGGGGCGGTTTGCATCGAGGCATGGACAGGTAGCAACAACTCTGCCAGACTTCTGAGGCAAAACCAAACAAAAACAGCTCCAACCATCATATTTTGACAAAACCTGCATTTTGTGAAATTCTGTATTTTTAGAGACCTGTCCTCCTTTGTACAAGTCATTTTCAGAGGCCGTGCTGAATATCAGATCATTTGTTAAAATGCCTCTGTACTTGATTACTCTACGTGGTTCTTTGCTGCGACCGTTTGTATCTCTAATAAACAGCATTGTTTATCATCCTTGGTTCCGTGCCCTTGGGATTGAACTGAAATAAAGCAGGAGCTCCGAGGCTGAGTGCTGGAAAATACGCCGGGTTTCCCAGGCCCGGGAAGGTCGCCGGGGCCGCAGAGACACCCGCCTGGGGAGAGCCCACTCTTCGGTGCACGCTTGGCGAAGAGCAAGTTTGCACCAGTTTTTCCAGACGCCGAGAGGTCCCAGGCAACTCAAAGGCTGGGCACCTGAAGGAGATACACAGGGAAATGCCACTAAGGACTAGGAATAAGGGTGTGACTAAAGGGCCGAATAGGCTAATACTGCCAAGATGATTTTTTTAAAAGGGAGTGTGGGGATTGCGGCGCGGGAAGCGTTCTGAGCGGTCTTTTAACTCGAAGTCTCAACCCTCTTCCTGGCGTAATAAAGCCTCACTAATAAATTCTCGTTTTTTCCGCGTAGCCCCGCGGTCTTTGCTGTTAAAACGACTACCCTTAACAAGACTAGACTTACCCCCTCGTTCCCCGTAGCTTCCTAATATTTGTCACCATTTCGTTTTCAGTCGGGTACTTTGTGACCGTGAAAGATATGAGTGCATGCCCTAAGAAAGTGCCGCTGTTCCCCAGAAAAAGCCTCCCCGTTCTCTTGGATCTCAAACGGGGTCCGCGGTAGAGCCTCTCCGAAATTTCGCTGCTCCCAGTATGGAGTAAGGTTCACTATCAAAATACAGAAACCTTCAAAAAAGACACAACGCCGAGTGCCTTGGGCGCCTGGGTAAGCCTGTCCAGTCTGCGCCTCCAAACCCCCGAATTTAATGTTGTGCGGGCTCTAGGGGAGAGTTTGCTAGTAAGAAGGTTGTTAAACGCGCGCCAGACCCGGGCTTTGCGCTTCTCAAATGGAACTTCCAGACCCAAGGCCCAGTACGAATTGTCCTTTCCACAGGTTCGTGTGAAACACCAACCCCCTCCCCTAGCTTCCAAAATTTCTCACAACAGGGTAGACACACTGTTCAAATTGTCCTTGCTAGCTGCGCTCCCTTATCCAAGTGTTTTTTTTTTTAAAAAATACGGAGATCCGTTTGCGCGCAAGAACAGTGATTTCCCTCAAGTCACTCGCGCAGCAGCTTCAGACAGCCCCTGCGTTGCAGCGCGTCCAAGCGTCGGCGGAGTTCTCCGAATTTCAAAAAAAAAAAAAGTAGTAAAGTGAATTTCGGCACAGGGAAAAGTGCTGGGTGTTGGAGTGGTAGGTGGGGGCGGGAGTCAAGAAAGCCGCCAGGAGGCTTTTTTGTTTTTTAAAGTTAGACACGCAATGAGGCGCAAGCATCAACAACACCGCTTCGTGGTTTCCGAACTTAGAGAATCGTGCCGTTTCGGCCCATCCCTGCAGGCAGGGGCAGAGAACAGAGTGTGGGGGGCTGTTTTTAGTTCCTGAAGAAGGAGCAGAGGCGCGGGCACAGCTTGCGGGGCACTGACAAGCGCAGCTGACTTTCTCCGCCGCTCT